TCCAAAACTTATAATTCACATTTATTTTTCAAAACTACTGGCAGTTCCATAGTACTTTCTGAGATGTCAAAAGCTTACAATGATATCAAAATTAACATCCCTTTCCCTGAGTCTGCAACTTTCTTAATTCCTCTACTTTTTCTAGAAGGAGCAGGTGAGACCAGTGGGGCCTACCTAGTCTCTAGGTTGGTGGGTGACCGGATAGCTGCCAAGATGGGAGCACTTACAGGTCCTCAGTGAATGTTCGTTCATTTGCTGAAGGAATTAATGATTAATCCTCCCCTCCCCCACCCCCCCCCAGGCAAACTCCTTCCATAGTTTGGAAGTTAGAGCCACAGTTTGAAATGGTCAAGTGAAGCAGTTGAGATGGCTTCACTTGAGCAAGGAGGCCTGAGGATGTCCCACACCTATAGATTGTCTTTTTCCTGGATTATAAAGTGGATTGAAGTTGAGTCCTGAGACAGGAGTTGGGGGATAGGGCAATGTAAGGGCATCCTGAGGGTTATAAGAAGAATGGGTTCAGTTTCACTCCAATCCAAGAGGCTCCTGGTTCCCGAATGATAATAATCCAGAGGTCTTGCTTTCCTGGGCCTAGAGGGGAGTGGTTCTCTGTCTCTCCCCTTGGTAGTAGCAGCGAGGGCCTCAGGTCAGGCAGCAGGGAGGTTCTTCTTTGTGAGTAGGCCCATAAGAAGGGAGTACAATGGAGCCCAAGTGAAAGAATCCTGGCTAAGGTAGTCCTGTCAGTCGGTTATCTGATATGATTTTAATGGCACTCACCACAATTTAAATTATGTAGGTTTCATTGTTGACTTAATTTTCTTATCAGCTTGTTTACATAATCTATTCCCTACTTAATATCCATGGCCCAGCACAGCATATGGCCCCCAGTAAAAATTCAGTGAAGAATGAATGAATGAATGAATGAATTTGCAAAGTGGAAGAATGGATGAGTTATCCTCCAGACCATCCAGCTGTCATATTAGTTTGGAATTGGGCGCGTTAAGTGATCTCTCCCTGCTGGAGCTGTAGGAAAATGTGCCCGTGAACACTCAAAGCTGGGGAGCACGTGACATAGGCTCCCTTGTGGTCCCAGAGGCTGGATGGGAGCAGTTTCTGTGAATATGAGGCCATAGGACTTGTGCATGTTAGAGTCAAGCATTCTCTAGGGGGTTGGAGCCTTTACCAGTTTTCACAGATCTTCAGCATAATTGGTCTCAATGGGCCATGGGCCCTTTTCTGCCCCACGATGAAGGACCTCAAAACAAGGGGGAGAGTTTGGGCCAGCTCAGTCGAAAGGCTGGGGCGTGGTCCATGATAGTGGACACTCTCCACACCTTAAGCAGGGTCTATGGGAGCCTCCTGCCCTGGGAACTGTATCTCCTTAGATGCCTAGACGGTGACCTCACTGATCTGTAGGAGGCCTTGGGAAAGCATGGTTTTGGAATGTTGCTCTATACAGTGCTCCAATGGGAATCCAAATTTGAAGTGAGAAAGTATTGGAGGATTTAATTGATGTTTCTGAGAGAGCCTGACCATACAGGTGGGAACTTGCCTTCCTGGAGTTAAAGATCTGGACCAGGGCCAGCTTGTCACCTTTGAGGGTGGTAGGCAGACCCTTGAGGTGGATGTAGGGTAGGAGGAAACTAGGCATCTTTATTAAGGAATTGACAAGAAGGATCATGCTTTGTCTGTGAGTTGTGCTGAGTAATAAAAGCAAGGGTAGATGAAAGGGTTTAGAACATGGGCAGTGGTTGCTGTGAGCTTTTAATATTCTGTTGGGCATGGGGTAGGGGCTAGGACACAGACATAGGATGCCAAAGAGCAGTTCACACACTCCTCATCCAAGATCCTCAGAAGAGCATTCAGATCCTGAGACTGTTCCAGAGTCCAGGTCCCATCAGGGGAATGCAGAGGCTCAGGTCTGAAACTTGTTCAGTCTTTAAGAGACGTCTGGAACACATGCCCTGCCCTAGTAAAGTAAATAATTCTGTTCATCCAGAGACCTGGCATTCCAATATGTGGTACTTGGGGCTCTTGTAGATGTTGGAATTCATAAGAGTCCCTCTGCAGTATATGTAAGATGCTGATGAGAAAACACACACCCCCCACATTACATCACACACAGACACGTGCACATACACACAAACAACACACACAGGGGCTAGAATTTTATGATAGAAATTGTCTGTGGCTTGTAAGGTGGAGGGCTACCTCTTGACGATTTATTCCTCACCTCCTGATACAGGGTATCTGAGCCACTGACACGTAGTTGAAAAAGTGTTGAGACCAGGAGCTATCGACCCTTCAGGTCTTAGTTCCAAAAGCAAAGAAGCACTATTAAATGTCAAGCAGGTTATGAGTTCTTCATAGTCTAAGAGCTGTCAGCACAACTCACAGACAAATTCAACGTATAGCCTAAGCCTAGAATAGAGAGTCTGTTGGATCAATTTGAAACCATTAAAATCATTTGAACCATTGATTTATACACAAGGACTTGGCAGGTGGCTTTAAAATCAAAACTAAAAATAGCATGTAAAACACCAGATGGAGAATATGAGTTTATGCTTCACCCATTAGACTGAGGAGTCCCCCTACCCTTTCCAAAAACTGCTAAGTGAATTATTGCATGAACCAGGGACACCTGCCAACATACCTATTCATTGCACAGTCATTTGTAATACAAAGTATAAGTAGGGCAGTCCATATAGACTTCTCTCTTTGGTGCTAAGGGTAGTTCATAAAACTGGGGGCTTAGCATGGAGCTTGATTTACCTAGTATAAAAACCAAATATTCAAAATCATGGAATTTAAAAATGAAGCCTACCCCCACCCCATTGATAAACATTGAAGTCATAAAAATTGGAAAATACCTAGAACCCTATTTTGAGGGCATGAAAGGATTCTCTGTGTGTTTACTCTTACGCTGTGGAACTCATGCTGTTTCATTGCCTCACTCAGGCCAAACAGATAACCAAAAGAAGATTCAGAAGGCTTTTCCGGTATTGGTTTCTTTGCAAGATTTGAGATTTTCAGACTTTTTTAATTCTTTAAAGTAGTGACTGATATTAGATTAGGTAAAGAATTACAATTAAGACACACAAAAAATTGAAACTTTCAATGAGACCTCTCTACAAGAAGAACATTGAGTAGTTATTAAGGTGTAAGGTAAACTCTGGCCAGATGGCTTCAAGTCTGAGTTTGCTTGTGTACCCATCTGAGGATGAACATTCAGGAAGGCCGTGCTAGCAGAAGTTACAGAGGCAGCCAGGTAAAACATCAGCATTTCCATGTGAACATGCAGTACCGTGCCAGGAAGGGGAAGATGCTAGCATGAAAAACAGATAGAAAAGCTAACAAGAGGGTGTTGCTACGTGGCCATCCTGTTTAGTCATTGGGAAGAGAATGGAAGATCTGTGGTGAACTGAAGTTCTGTTTAAAGTTGGAGTGAGTTCTGTTGTCTGGGGAGTGTTGCTTGCATGGTAGCATTTGACTCAGTGCACACCAGAAGCTAACTGTGCCCAGGGTCCCTTGAGTATAAGTGCCTGCTGATGGGCAGTCTAGATCAGCCGTGGGCAAACTACAGCCTGTGGGCCGGACCTGGCCCGTTTGAAATGAATAAAACTAAAAAAAAATAGAAGACTGTACCCTTTTATGTAATGATGTTTACTTTGAATTTATATTAGTTCACACAACACTCGATCGATGTTTTTATTCCGGCCCTCCGGTCCAGTTTAAGAACCCACTGTGGCCCTCGAGTCAAAAAGTTTGCCCAACCCTGGTCTAGATGAAGGTGACAAGGATGAGAAACCAGATAGCAGATTCTCCTGTGAACAGCTGCACCAACTCACCTTGGGGTAGATGGGAGGTTGGAGCGAGAGGAGAAGGGCAAGGCTTGGCTGATCAGAGAGAGAGAAAAGGGCCAACCCAATTGTCATTTCCTGCTCAAAATATGTAGTACTGTGAACGCAGTCTGAAATGGAGAGCTCAGACATAGTGCAGTCTCCAAGTCCATATTTTACCTGAAAACCTAGATCAAGGGCAAGAAACACCTCTTTCCCCTAATTCTGGTTGGCATTGTCCAGTCAGAGAACTCTTTCAAATTATCCACTCAACTCATTAAAGACTTGTAGCTCAGTATATGATTACAAGGTCCATTATGCCACCCAACCTGACTAAATAAGTACTTCTCCCAACCCCCTCCTCTCTTACTGCCCATGAGCCTTGCTCACAGAGTGAAGGGAAGAAAGTAGGCTTCCTCTGCAGGGGGATCACCACGGATGTCAGGGTACCTATGTGATGGAGGTGAGGGTTTGTCATCCTATCAGGTGTATTTGCAAGTTCTGCCTCCTCATCAGAATCCCCCTCCCTTTAGTCCACCAGGGTCTGTGTTGTGGGATGGGGACCCAGAGTTGCCCTGCCGTTCTTCACTTTAACCTTGAACATCTCCAGGATGAATCCCCCACATTTCCAGGCAGAACGAAGGGCGCTTTCTATGTGCCTGGAGTTTCTCCTTCATACCAAAGCTCTTAACACAAAGCGTCCTTATGGGTTTACTTCATGTGGGAATCCCTGGATTCAGGGGCTGTTCTCCTTGACTTTCCAGCCCTGGGATTTAGCTTGACATCTGGCACTTAGTACGCACTGAAAAAAGGCGTATTGGCCATGGAGTGGGCAATACTAAGAGTGACCTTAATGTAAACTGTGACTTTGGATGATAATGACAAGCCATTGACAGTTTGTAGATTTTAACAAATGTCTCACTCTGGTGGGAGGAATGTTGATAGTGGGGGAAACTGTGCATGTGGGGGTAGGGGTTATATGGGAAATCTCTGTACCTTTTGCTGTGGACCTAAAACTGCTCTGAAAATTAAAGTCTGTTTGTTGTGAATGAATAGATAGTTGTTAGAATCGGAAGTACTCTCAACAGATAGCATGAGGATATGTGTTATAGTTGAGTATTTTACATAACTTTCTCTTTGCTTTGTATTCTTTTTTTGTAGGGTGTGAAGAAGTATGATGAGCCCTGTGGAGGGAGAGACTGCAGTGGGGGCTGCCAGTGCTACCCTGAGAAAGGAGGGCGGGTAAGTCATTGCCTTGCAAGAAAGGTTATGATCTTCCTTATACTCCCATTGTAAATGAGAGGGCCTTAAATTGCCTGGTTAAGTCAGTTGCATACCTTCCTAAGAAATATAATATAGACATGTTCTTCTCCACTGGAACAGACAGTATAATGCGAATTGGGATCAATTTATAGTACTCCCTTAAATTGATAATAATGCTAACTTTCTTAAGCATCTTTTCTCTTATTCATTGCTATGAATACCTATGTCTGTGTATGTATATGTATAATGCAACTATTTTTATACTTATTATGTTGTACATAAATATATGTTTTATAACAATATTACATAGAGAAAACATGGTTGCATTCGTACTGCAGAATAGATATTCAAACTAGAGAGCACCAGCCTCATACGAATGAGAATCATTCTGTTTAAATTATTCTACTCATTTTCTGAATGTCCTTCATGTAGCCCATTTCATAGGTAAGTAAGAGAAAAAAAGGTCACCCCAATTTATTATCATAACACCTGGTAGAATTTAAACTAATATGTTCAAGCAAAGTGACTGGCCTCTCTGTTTCCATTAAAGCTGATGTTTGGGTCTTGGCATTGCTGATTTTTAAGACACTGTTTATATTTATATGATTAAGCCCAGGTTGGTGTGGGCAGCAGCATTTTGTTTTAGGACACAGTCTCTTGAGTCTTTATGCCTTGGAATCATGTATTTTCCTCTCAGATCCACGCTTGTCTGATGCCAGGTTGTGAGAGACAGTTAGGAATTCTTGCCAGCATTGTCCTGTCATTGGAAACAGAAATTAATGCAGCCCTTAGGTGTCCCCAATGAGTTTCACCAACCGGAATCCTGCAGTCAGTTTCCAAAGTAGCCTTCCCCATTCCTCCCAACTCCCCCCCACCCCCACCCTCCACCACCACCAAGCTTGGGCTCTGTGGCTGGGTGTTCTCATACATCCTCTCCTACCTGAGTCCTCTCCAAAAATCAAATAAGTAAGACTTGTAACAGGGAACCCCTTTATAAATGTGGTGGTTGTATTGAATACCCTGTGACTCATCATTTTTGAATGGCAAAGGTCACCATTGAGGAGTGTCTTGCCGCTACATCCAAGCTTGCATCTCCATGCACTGTGTTCCCATGAGCTGCAGTCCTCAAAACAGCTTGTTGTTGTTGTTGCTGTTTTCCTCATGGGTTCCTCTGTTTGGAGCAGCAACTTTACACTGTAGGAATTTCTAGTTGAAGATCCTTTATCAGCATTTCAAAAGAATAAGTATTTTTTTTAATCTGAAAGCCATTTCATGAGATTTAAAATGCCCCTGGGGTCCCTTGCTATAGATTTTCCCAGCGATGCTCTGGAGCAGTGATGGAAATGTCTGACTGCAGAGCTCTCCTCCCTCAGCTCTTGACTGGCCCAGCCTTATTTGGGCGCAGGGAAGATAAATGAGTGGTGTACAAATATCTGTGAGACTCGCCTGTGTGGGAGTTTGCTCCACTCTAGAGGGACTCCACATTCTTCTCCATGTGATCAGCCAAACAGAACCCAAACTAACTGAGGAGAAAGTCATACTGGGTCTATTCTTTTCACTTTGTACAATTATTTAATGCAGAACCAACACATTAACATTTCCCATGATGCTTTTACAAGAACTTTGTTCTTCAGTAAAGCTAGCTTTTTCTGATTATTTCAATAGATAATGCCATCTGTGCTGCAATATACTTTTATAAAATGCCAAAGGTCTTTTCAAAAGTGTTATTAAAAGGAAGATTTCTAAGGGCCTCTATGTCTTTCCAATGTAGTGAGTGTCCAGTACAGGCATTGAAACCTTTTTACTCCCCATCATCCCTAATCAAGAAAATACCTTGAGTCTGTTCCTATATATTGTTGCCAAGTAATGTAGAAACCTGAGACCTTCTGGTTAATTTGATTAAAGAGAGTAACCCAGAACCCACAGTGGACTTGACTCTCCTATATTCAGACAGGTTATTAATACAGACCGAATTCACCGGAGATCTGGCAGTTGTCTGAGTAGTTTGTTCAAGAGACAGAGCCAATGGTACCCCACTTTTTGGCCTGGCCTACAGGATCCACTGTCCATAGTGTTCAGATGGCTCTTCTCTTCACACTGCTTAATGGTCCATACTGTCATTGGTGTTGGACCTAGACTCACCCTGTGATTGGACCATACAGATCCAAGTTGGGTTGTGTTATCAGCCAGTACCCAAGGCTGCCCTATTGATTCGGTGTGCAGGTGTGCCATTGAACATTAATCAATAAGGTGATAGAAATGACTCATGGTAAAAGGTAAGAAAAAAAATCTACTGGGGAGAGATAAATGATGTCATTTATCATTTTCTATGGGGTAAGCCTAGTATATTACTGGAGATATTTATTGTTAGGACAGTTGCATAGACTTCATTAAATCATTTATTAAGATGTAGTGTCGCCGAAACCGGTTTGGCTCAGTGGATAGAGCGTCGGCCTGCGGACTGAAAGGCCCCGAGTTCGATTCCGGTCAAGGGCATGTACCTGAGTTGCGAGCACATCCCCATTGGGGGATGTGCAGGAGGCGGCTGATCGATGTCTCTCTCACATCGATGTTTCTGACTCTCTATCTCTCTCCCTTCCTCTCTGTAAAAAATCAATAAAATATATTTTTTTAAAAAAAGATGTAGTGTCTCTTGCAGTTCTACAAACCTGGCATGGTATATGTATTAAATATTTGTGGATTAACAAATTTATCTAAATGCATTCCTATAGAAAACATGGTTATTTCTGTCCTGCTTGTGGCTTGATAGTAATTTTTTAAAGTAATGTAATGCATAAAAATAGCAGTTGGATGGATTTTGCTGTCCGGGGAGCTGTGTGCAGAGTTTGTTCTTTCCCACAGCTTCCCTGGGGTCCCTTGCTATATATTTTCCCCACGGTGCTACTGTAGCAGCGATGACAATGCCTGGCTGCAGAGCTCTCCACTCCCCAAGCACTTGGCTAGCTCGGCCTTATTTGGGCATGGGGTAGAGTTAATTTGTTCCTCGCCATGGTGACAGCCAACATCAGAAACTGTATGTTACTGGATAACTTTTGGACTCTAAGCAAAAATCACAAATGTACTATGGATTCCGATTCCAAATGAAGTCTCATGTTACTGAATGAATAAGCTCTGTGTAAAACGTATCGAGCCTGATTCTTCACCCCTGAGTAAGTTGGCGGGGTCTTGTCCTAGGGAGAGAATTGTTTCTCACAGGCAGAGCTACACATGGATAATCCCAGTAAGCCAGAAGCTGGAGTAGGAAGAGGCAGGCACTGCGGCCCAGCTGTCTGTGCAGTCCTCACTTCCTGCTCAGAGCCGGATGATCTAGCCTGAGTCCTCTAGTGCACACAGGATGGTAGGAGGACACTGACATTGGGGGGGAAATGATTTGTTCTAATCTGGATTCAGAACAAAACTCTCAGGTTTTGGGACTTGTTGATGAGTTCTTTTTCCAATACAGTAACCTTTTGTGTCTATATATTCCTCTTGCCAGATGTTAACCTATAGGAAGGGGATTCTCCAGGGTGGTGGGAGGGACACAGGCGGAGATGAAAAGAGCTTTGTCTCCGTTCTCAGGAGTTATGAATCCCTAGCCAATTCTCTAACCACCTCTTCAGTTGCTTGGTGAATTAAAAAAAATAATAACTTTAAGAAATGATTTCAGGCTTTATTGTTGTTGGAGGGTCTGTATCTCAAATCATGTCTATGAGGTATATTGGAGTGTTTAAAATTCTAAGTCCTAGTTCCCCAATACTACACAGGGGGATATGCACAAAGGAAGTCAATGACCTAACTTCCCAGACCTCCTCCGCCAGGAAATGTCATACAGTTGTCAATACCAGAGAAGCTGTCCGGCCCTCTTATCTGTTGCTATTCTTTTTCTTATTTCTTTCTTTATATACTATGAAGATGGAAGGTGGTTGAATGGAATGCATTAGGTTGAATTTATGCTATAGAATTTCTACTGAAGCAGAGGGACTGCCACCGTATTATATAAGGTTGATAGTATGGAAAACAGAGAGCACAGGTGAAGCATTGATTAGACAAATAAAGCCTTTGCCTTTGCACATTTTTTGTTGTTGTTTGTTTTGTTTGCCCAGCGCAAATTTAATGTGCATTAGGAAGCTTAACTTAAAAACCAACAGCATCGTAAAAAGATGTCATTCATGTTCATAGCAGTACATAATCCTTTATAAATGCATGCCTTTGCACATTAACTCACGTAAAAGGTTGTCAGATTCTCAGATCTTTCCAACTGAGGTCGATTTTAATTTATTATTTCAATTACTTAGGCAGGTTCCTGTTCTCCCGACCCTTTTTGGTTTTTGACCCTAAACTCAGATCAGATAGGTAATTTCAACTTTTTCATGACATCAACCTTTACAAGGCACTTGTTTTCCTAGGCGATCATATTTCAAAAATTCCCCAGCCAGGTGGCTCAGTTGGTTGGAGCGTCATCCTGTACTCCAAAAAGGTTGTGGGTTTCAGAAGCCATTCAGGAGACTTCTTTAGAAAAGCTATGTAATTTATAACTTACTTATGCCACAGAGCTCTCCAGGCGGGGAAGGCTCCTAGGAAAGGCAAAGTAGTTGGCTATTAAGATTTAAAATCAAATGTATTCATTCATTCAGCCTTGTAGGGGCACATCCAGGAGGTAACGGATTGACGTTTCTCTCTCACATTGGTTTCTCTCTCCCCTCGCCTTCCTCTGTCTCTGAGAATCAATAAGCATATCCTTGAATGAGTTAATTGGCATCTTCCCCATCCCTCAGCAGTCATCCAACCCACATTCACCCTCCATGGGCTTGACAACATGAGCCACAAAACTGGAGACCAACTCCCAGAAGGTTGCGATTGATAAACGCACTCTCTTAAGCAATGACTGGGTGTTTGGTACAAGTTATCTTTAGCTGTTGCTGGAGTTTCCCACAGTCTGTGGGTCCCTGGACTCTGTACAAAGTGTGAGGGAATAATTC